CTGTCCTGCGCTTGCACTCTGACAGGGGTGGTGAGTTCGCCTCCGACCTCTTGGCAGCCTACTGTGCTGAGCACGGCATTGAGCAGTCGTACACGCTTCCGGCCTCTCCACAGCAGAATGGGGTTGCTGAGCGCCGCATTGGCTTAGTCATGGAGGTCGCTCGTACCTCCCTGACCCATGCGGCTGCTCCCCATTTTCTGTGGCCGTTTGCGGTCCGGTACGCAGCACATCAGCTCAACCTCTGGCCCCGTGTCTCCTTGCCGGAGACTTCCCCGACTCTACGGTGGACGGGAGAGGTTGGCGATGCGTCGCGTTTCCGGGTCTGGGGATCTCGAGCCTTTGTCCGCGACACGTCTGCGGACAAGCTCTCACGTCGCACTGTTCCCTGTGTCTTTCTTGGCTTTGTTCCCGACGCGCCTGGATGGCAGTTTTACCACGTCACCTCGCGCCGGGTTCTGGCCTCTCAGGACGTCACTTTTGACGAGTCCGTCCCCTTCTACCGCCTCTTCCCCTACCGCACTGCCCCACTCCCCCCCCCCGCCTCTCTTCCTCGCTCCAGGTGCTGAGGTACCAGACCCCCTCCCCCCTCAGGGTGCCGCTCCCTCAGGTGTGTCCCAGGTAGACCCGGGTGAGCCTGTCGAGGTAGCTGTTGACTCGCGTCCTGCGTCTGGGGGTGCTGAGCCTGGAGGTGCGGAGCCTGGGGGTGCTGAGCCTGGAGGCGCGGAGCCTGGGGGTGCTGAGCCTGGAGGTGCGGAGCCTGGGGGTGCTGAGCCTGGAGGTGCGGAGCCTGGAGGTGCGGAGTCTGGGGGTGCTGAGTCTGGACGTGCTGAGTCTGGGGGTGCTGAGTCTGGGGGTGCTGAGTCTGGGGGTGCTGAGTCTGGGGGTACTCCACCTGGAGGAGCCCTCTCCTCCCAGCAGCTGCAGGAGAGGTACCTCGAGTACTGCCGCCTCCGGAGAGGTGCTTCTGGAGCTCGTCCCGGTACTTCCCCTCCTACCCAGGAGCTCCCCCCCATTCAGGTGATCCGCGAGTGGTACACGCGGCGCTGCAGTCTTCGTAGTGGTGCTCCTGGTGCTGCGGACCCGAGCGGTGGTGCTGTTGCTGGTACTGAGGACCCGGACGCTGGAGCTGCTGCTGGTGCTGAGGACCCGGGGGCTGGAGCTGCTGCTGGTGTTGAGGACCCGACCGGTGGCGCTGCTGCTGGTGCTGAGGACCTGACCAGTGGCCCTGCTGCTGGTGCTGAGGACCCGGGCGTTGGAGCTGCTGCTGGTGCTGAGGACCCGACCGGTGGTGCTGCTGCTGGTGCTGAGGACTCGGGCGTTGGAGCTCCTGCTGGTGCTGAGGACCCGGGCGTTGGAGCTGCTGCTGGTGCTGAGGACTCGGGCGTTGGGGCTGCCACTGGTGTCCCTGCTGTTTCTGGAGACGCTGCGCGGCCGCGACCGTATTTCGTACCGCTCCTTCAGCAGGTTCTTGGTCAGGCTCCTCCTCTTAGTCCTCCTCCCTCCGTAGCGTGTCCTCCGCCTGTCCAGCCGCAGTCACAGTTACCGCCTGTCTCGCCTCTCCCTGCTCCCTCCCCTTACGCTGGTCCCACAGGAGGTCTTACAGAGCGTCGTGAGCCTGAGTCTCGTCCTGCGTCGCCTGTTCGTACTGCTCGCACTGGTCGTCGTGTCCCACGTGAGCGTCCTCCTCCTGTCCCTGGCACTCACTACATGACTCTACGTCCCTCCACTGCTCCGCAGCGTGTCCCGCTGCCGTCTCCTCCTGCGTCCTCTCTTCCTACTCTTCCTGACCCGGAGTCTGACTCCCGTCGTGCTGCCAGTCCCACTGTTACGCGTCTCCTCGCTACAGTTGTCACTGACCCGACCTTTGAGTCCTCTGCTGCGTCTGCCCTGGTCGCTGAGTTGGTTGACTTTGCTGCTCGCTGTCGCCTAGACTACGCTGCCAGCCTTGTCGCTAGGTCTGAGTCTGCGTCTGCCTGTCCTCCGTCCGTCGGGGGTGAGTGTGCCCTCGGCACGGACGTCCTTGAGGACAGACAGGAGGAGTTCCACTGCCTTGCTGCTGCTTTGCCCCGTCTCGTGTCCTTGCTAGTTGCCCCTGAGGGAGACCCGGATGCACCAGACATCCCGACCCCACGCTCTTACGCTGAGGCGATGGCGGGTCCCTACTCCTCTCAGTGGCAGACAGCCATGGACGCAGAGATGGCCTCCTGGAAGTCCACAGGCACCTACGTAGACGAGGTTCCCCCTCCTGGGGCGAACATTGTCAGTGGCATGTGGATTTTCAGGGTGAAGCGGCCGCCGGGTTCTCCGCCTGTTTTCAAGGCGCGCTACGTGGCTCGAGGCTTCAGTCAGCGAGAGGGAGTTGACTTCTTTCAGACCTTCTCCCCCACCCCGAAGATGACTACTCTTCGGGTGCTGCTGCACATAGCCGCTCACCGCGACTACGAGCTTCACTCTCTTGACTTCAGCACTGCTTTCTTGCAGGGCAGCCTGCACGAGGAGATCTGGCTGCGTCGCCCCCCTGGCTTCACTGGGTCAGTTCCTCCTGGCACCCAGTGGAGGCTTCAGCGGCCGGTCTACGGTCTCCGCCAGGCGCCACGTGAGTGGCACGACACACTGAGGACGACACTTGCGGCTCTTGGGTTCGCTCCCTCTACTGCTGACCCGTCGCTGTTTCTACGCACCGACACCTCGCTGCCGCCGTTCTACATCCTCGTGTACGTCGACGACTTGGTCTTTGCCACTGCTGACACCGCGGCACTCGCTCACGTGAAGTCGGAGCTGCAGAGGAGACACACGTGCACAGACCTGGGTGAGCTGACGAGCTATCTTGGCTTGCGGATCACCCGGGACAGAGCACGGCGCACCATCACCCTGACTCAGTCACACATGGTGCAGCAGGTTCTCCAGCGCTTCCGCTTCACGTACTCCTCGCCTCAGTCCACTCCTCTGCCTACCGGTCACTCGCTCTCAGCTCTGCCTTCGGATGAGTCCGTAGAGCCGAGTGGCCCGTATCCAGAGCTTGTGGGCTGCCTCATGTACCTGATGACCTGCACTCGACCTGACCTTGCATACCCTCTTAGCATCCTAGCACGCTATGTCGCTCCTGGCCGTCACCGGAAGGAGCACATGGATGCTGCTAAGAGGGTGTTGCGCTACTTGTGCAGTACGTCGGGCATGGGGCTTGTGCTTGGAGGGCGAGACCGGGTTGTTCTCACAGGGCACTCAGACGCTTCTTGGGCAGACGACCAGGCTACTCAGCGGTCGTCCCAGGGTTACACCTTCAGCCTTGGCTCTGGCACAGTTTCTTGGCGTTCTACTCGCTCTTCTTCTGTTCTCAGCTCCAGTTGTGAGGCTGAGATCTACGCCACAGCCATGGCCGCTCAGGAGCTACGCTGGCTGACCTACCTGCTGACCGACCTCGGAGAGCGGCCTCGTTCTCCTCCAGTGCTGTACGTCGACAACAAGGCTGCCATTGCCTTGTGTGAGGAGCACAGACTGGAGCACAGAACGAAGCACATCGCTCTGCGGTACTTCCTGGCTCGAGAGCTGCAGCAGCGTGGTCAGCTTTGTCTGCGTTACGTGGCCACGGAGGCCAACACTGCTGATGTGTTCACCAAGGCGCTTCAGCCTTGTGACCATCAGCGCTTTTGCACTCTGCTAGGCCTTGTACCTACTGGGCCTCACTTACTTACCTCTTGACCTTGCTTGTACTGTGATCACTATATATATATGCCTACTTGTTTACGTTTGCTAGGTTGTGATCACTGTATCTCTTGCTTTGTTATAAACCTGCATGTGAACTGGTCTTGTGACCGCTTGCTTGTGCTCGGAATTTGTGTGGAATCCTTGAGATCCACCCTGAGCTTGTTTTGCTTTGCTTTGACTGGTCTTGTGACCCTGTGGCTGTCTCCCACTGCGCCTATGGGGGTGTGTCAAACATTGCATGTTTATATTGTCTAGGCTGTAGTGGGTTACACCTTAGGGGGTACACAAAGTTAGGGTTTCCTACTTGTACCAAACTCTGTTCTAGTTCATTCATTCCTGCTCAGTTATTTCTGACACGCCTAGCGCTTTTAATCGGCGCCCGGCGCTTATATCCGGTGCTCGATTATAAGCGCACCCCCCTGAAAAAACTTGTTTTATTATAAGCGCACGTAAACTTTAAATTTTGAATTGTGTTCGAAACACTGTAATGTAACGATTTCTACTTTAGCAGGGGGATGTGTTGCAGATTCGCTTCCCTTCACATTCGGACCCTGCACTGGATGCGGGTCCAGTCAGCAGGAGCAGTCAGGAGCTGTCAGAAGCTGTCAGGAGCTGTCAGAGTGGGTGTATCTCCAGCGCGCGCGAGAAATTTCACAGAACTTCGACTCGATTGAAAAAGGCAAGCACGAGATCTACAGCTTGGTGTTATAAACTATATAAAATATATATGTCGTTTTATAACGCCGGCGCTTTTAAATTTACCCGATCATAAGCCGAACCCCCTAAAAAAACCTGTTTTATTATTGCCCCCCATGGGGGTATATCCGGGGTATGACGGTAATGACAATGATATTGTTTAGTCCTAGCTGATTACGCACTTCTTTGAAATGTGTATTTTCTCTGATTCATGAATTGTAGCTGTTATACGTTCAGCGATGTAATGTCTGATATTTATTCCACCACTAGGCTTCATATATTCATTTATCTATAAATTAAAAAAACATTGACTTACTGTACACACCAAGCTATTAGGCTGCGATTGTCTCCGCTGTTGCCCCCCAACGGCCTGCCCTCAACCAGGCAGGATAACGCTGAAGAGACGTAATCCTGGCCGTCCGTTGACCTGCTCGTCAAGGCTGGAAGAGGGTTTATCGCTCACATGCTGTCTCTCTGTCTCCCCTCTTCCCTCTCCCCTCCCTCCCTCACCAAGCCCACTATATCCCGCCTAATCGCACCTCCTGTTCTCCCTTTGGTCAGGCAGAAATCCTTAGGAGGTATCGGCACGACCGCCCACCATGGGTAATCTCTCTCTCTTACGCATCAAGATTTTTTAAGGTCCTTTTTAGCCGTCGATATATGGTTCTACTCCGCCATTCGTCCGGTAACAGTTTTGCGGAACCAGCAAAACCCTAGTTTTGCCAACAGTACTGTCGTTCTTCGTGCGTGCACGGGGCTGTGTGCGTGCGTGCGGTTGTGCGTGGCAGGAGCGTACAAGTACGTGTCGGAGCTATGGAAGAAGAAGCAGTCAGACGTCATGCGCTTTCTGCTGCGCGTGCGCTGCTGGGAGTACCGCCAGCTGCCCTCCATCATCCGCGTCTCGCGCCCCACTCGCCCTGACAAGGCTCGCCGCCTCGGATACAAGGCCAAGCAGGTGCGCGCCCGTCGCCTCGCCTGCCATTGCCGCTTAAACCCAGTTTCTACTCGGCGCCTTACCGCTTTTGTCGGTAACTGTGACCCGGATTCGAGAAGCTTCGTGCTGCCGCATTACGTCCGCCCGATCTCTTTGTGTCGCGGCGTGCTGCTTCTCTCCGCCGATTTGATGTTTCCATGTTGCTCCCTGCCGACATCGGCTGCGTTCCCCGCGCTCGACTGTTCCGCCTCGCGTTGCCCCGCGCGCGTGATTTGTAGCGCGATCCCCGCTCGCCGCGCGTGCGCGTCACAGAAGCGCCAGCCGTGCTTGCCAGTGCTAGCTGTGCCCCCTTACATCCGATTCATGAGATTCAGCGAGTCGTTGAGACATGGGTTGGTGATCCGCGCAGGCCATAGATTCGTCGCGCATATGGCGTCCAATTTCATCCATCATGCCGTCGCATCCCGCGAGGCACCCGGCCTGCGTGACGATGCGGCTTGCAGCAGCGTGCCGTTCTTTCGGGGGTAAACGGCACGATCGCCCGCCGTGATCCCGTTAGTAGTAGCGCAGTTATCGTCGTGGCGCGCACAGTCTACGGGCGGTGCAATACGGTCTGCATGGACGTAGTGGATCGCTGTATGGTTTACAGTCCCCATCGCGCAGCCACGTGTCACCCTCCAATGATCCCTCATCTCCGATCACTCTTCGTTGCCCCAGCCTCCCGTCGTGCTCAGCTCACCGCCCATCTAACCCGTTTCCCCCTCTCCCCGCGCTTCCCCCTCTCCCCGGTCCTTGTCTCCCCGCTCCCTGTCTCCCCGCTCTCCCCGCTCCCTGCCTTCCCGCTCTCTCCGGTCCTCCACGTGTTGTGACCCGCGGGTGCGCGCAGGGTTACGTGGTGTACCGCGTGCGCGTGCGCCGTGGCGGCCGCAAGAAGCCCGTCGCCAAGGGTATCGTGTACGCCCTTGAACCCTCGAGCCCCTTCGCCCCCTCGCCCCTCCGCCCCCTCGCCCCTCCGCCCCCTCGCCCCCTCGCCCTCTCGCCCCTTCTCTCCCGCTCCCCGCCTGCCTCATGCCGCACGCTTGTTTTCTCAAGAATTTCCTCCTCATGCAGTCGCTCTTGGCTTCTCTACTACTCTCTCGTTGCACCTCCCCAGCTTCACGCTCTTTCCCCGTTTCCATTCTCCCCCACTCCGTCCGCCGCGCGTTCGCTGTCCGACCGCATCTGCCGCGTGATGCGGTGTACGCGCGTCGTGTTGTGGTGGTGCGCGCCGTGTTGTAATTGTGCGCGCGTGGCGGCGGCAGGTACGGCAAGCCGAAGAGCCAGGGAGTGACGCAGCTCAAGTTCCAACGCAACAAGCGCGCCGTCGCGGAGGAGCGCGCTGGCCGCCGCCTGGGGGACTGCGCGTGCTCAACTCCTACTGGGTCAACCAGGTGCGCTGTGCGCGCGCGCGCGTGTGTGGGGTGGGGTGGGGTGGGGTGAGGTGGGGGGGAGGTGTAAGCGGTGGAGTGAGGGTGGGCCATGGTGTTGTGTGTGTGCGTGTGTGTCTCCGCGCCCGCGCTCGCTTGCCCCTGCGCCCACCACTGCTCACACACTTGAGCGCACCCTCTGTTCCCCCTCACAGCAACCTGACGGACGAACTGAGTGTAGGTGAAACAAACTCCCACAGCTGTCTTCCATGCAACGCCCACCGCACGCCACGCTCACAACTCCCTCCATCCCCTCCTCTCCCCCCCTTTATCACCCCCTTTCTCCTCCCCCTTCCCCTGCCCCGCCTCCCCTCCCCCCCCCCAACGCACATCCCCCACTTCCCCAACCTTCTCTTCCCTTCCCCACTGTCCGCTTGTTCTCCCCCCACCCATCCCCGCACGGCGCCAGGACTCGGCGTTCAAATACTACGAGGTGATCCTGGTGGACCCACACCACCAGGCCATCCGCAACGACGCGCACATCAACTGGCTGTGCCGCCCCGTCATGAAGCACCGCGAGCTGCGCGGCCTCACGTCCGCCGGGCGCCACCACCGCGGGCTGCTGCGCAAGGGCCACAAGAGCACCAAGAACCGCCCCTCCGTGCGCGCCTTCTGGAAGCGCAACACCATGCTCTCGCTGCGCCGCTACCGGTAGACGCGTGCACGGGGCAGCTCGGGGCCGGGGTATGGCAGATAGCAGGGGAAGATGGAGGTGCAGAGAGGCGGTGCCACGTGGTGATGGGGAACTGTGCAGATGGCGGTTGGGCAAACGAGAATGTGTTGGATTGGTGCTGGATTGGCTTGTCTCTGTTGTTGGTACTACTGTACAAGTTCTGCGTGAAGTATAGTTACAAATTACAAGTTTTTCACCCTGGCCTGGCATCAGGGCCCAAAATAGGTTAAGGTCTACTCTTTCAAACCAGGGTTCCAGGCCCCCAGTACCAGTACCCGGACTGTTAGGGAAAAACAGCCTAAAAAAGCATGTACACTGATTATGGAAGGGAAAAGTTGTTTTTGATTGCAGTAAGGGTACCGTCAGCCCCCGGATAGAAGCGCCCCTGGGGGTATAAAAAAACACTGTTTTTTAGGGGGTGCGCTTATAATTGAGGAATTTTATAAGCACCGGCGCTTATAAAATGGCAAAACGATCATACGTTTTACAAGAAACTGTAGATCTTGTTCTGCAGATTGTAATCGAGTCGCAAACTTATATCTGGGGTCGCGAATCTGATTCTCGCGCAGCTTGGCAGGGAGTGATTTCCTGCCAGCTCATACTGACAAAATCACAACACATGCTGACTAGACGCGGAAAAGGTGAGATCAGAGTGGAAATCGAAATTGAAGTTCGTTTCCCTGATAATGTGAAATCCGTTTCTGTAATTTGACGGGTTTTCGAATGAAAAACAAACATGCGCTTATAATATATCATAATTTTCTGGGGGGTGCGCTTATAATCGAGGACCGGATATAAGCATCGTCATTCTTTTATAAGCGCCGGCGCTTATCCGAGGCCTGCGGGGTCTAAGAGCGTGGGTCTAAGGGCGTGGGTCTAAGAGCGTGGGTCTAAGAGCGTGGGTCTAAGGGCGTGGGTCTAAGAGCGTGGGTCTAAGGGCGTGGGTCTAAGAGCGTGGGTCTAAGAGCGTGGGTCTAAGAGCGTGGGTCTAAGAGCGTGGGTCTAAGGGCGTGGGTCTAAGAGCGTGGGTCTAAGGGCGTGGGTCTAAGAGCGTGGGTCTAAGAGCGTGGGTCTAAGAGCGTGGGTCTAAGAGCGTGGGTCTAAGGGCGTGGGTCTAAGAGCGTGGGTCTAAGGGAGTGGGTCTAAGGGCGTGGGTCTAAGAGCGTGGGTCTAAGGGCGTGGGTCTAAGGGCGTGGGTCTAAGGGCGTGGGTCTAAGAGCGTGGGTCTAAGGGCGTGGGTCTAAGAGCGTGGGTCTAAGAGCGTGGGTCTAAGAGCGTGGGTCTAAGGGCGTGGGTCTAAGGGCGTGGGTCTAAGGGCGTGGGTCTAAGGGCGTGGGTCTAAGGGCGTGGGTCTAAGGGCTGGTTCTAAGGGCGTGGGTCTAAGAGCGTGGGTCTAAGAGCGTGGGTCTAAGGGCGTGGGTCTAAGGGCGTGGGTCTAAGAGCGTGGGTCTAAGAGCGTGGGTCTAAGAGCGTGGGTCTAAGAGCGTGGGTCTAAGAGCGTGGGTCTAAGAGCGTGGGTCTAAGAGCGTGGGTCTAAGAGCGTGGGTCTAAGGGCGTGGGTCTAAGAGCGTGGGTCTAAGGGCGTGGGTCTAAGAGCGTGGGTCTAAGGGCGTGGGTCTAAGGGCGTGGGTCTAAGAGCGTGGGTCTAAGGGCGTGGGTCTAAGGGCGTGGGTCTAAGGGCGTGGGTCTAAGGGCGTGGGTCTAAGGGCGTGGGTCTAAGGGCGTGGGTCTAAGGGCGTGGGTCTAAGGGCGTGGGTCTAAGGGCGTGGGTCTAAGGGCGTGGGTCTAAGGGCGTGGGTCTAAGAGCGTGGGTCTAAGGGCGTGGGTCTAAGGGCGTGGGTCTAAGAGCGTGGGTCTAAGGGCGTGGGTCTAAGAGCGTGGGTCTAAGAGCGTGGGTCTAAGAGCGTGGGTCTAAGGGCGTGGGTCTAAGGGCGTGGGTCTAAGGGCGTGGGTCTAAGGGCGTGGGTCTAAGGGCGTGGGTCTAAGAGCGTGGGTCTAAGGGCGTGGGTCTAAGGGCGTGGGTCTAAGGGCGTGGGTCTAAGGGCGTGGGTCTAAGGGCGTGGGTCTAAGGGCGTGGGTCTAAGGGCGTGGGTCTAAGGGCGTGGGTCTAAGAGCGTGGGTCTAAGAGCGTGGGTCTAAGAGCGTGGGTCTAAGGGCGTGGGTCTAAGGGCGTGGGTCTAAGAGCGTGGGTCTAAGAGCGTGGGTCTAAGAGCGTGGGTCTAAGAGCGTGGGTCTAAGAGCGTGGGTCTAAGAGCGTGGGTCTAAGAGCGTGGGTCTAAGGGCGTGGGTCTAAGAGCGTGGGTCTAAGAGCGTGGGTCTAAGGGCGTGGGTCTAAGAGCGTGGGTCTAAGGGCGTGGGTCTAAGGGCGTGGGTCTAAGAGCGTGGGTCTAAGAGCGTGGGTCTAAGAGCGTGGGTCTAAGGGCGTGGGTCTAAGGGCGTGGGTCTAAGAGCGTGGGAAAAACGTGGGTCTAAAATCGTGGGTCTAAGGGCGTGGGTCTAAGGGCGTGGGTCTAAGAGCGTGGGTCTAAGGGCGTGGGTCTAAGGGCGTGGGTCTAAGGGCGTGGGTCTAAGAGCGTGGGTCTAAGGGCGTGGGTCTCAGGGCGTGGGTCTAGGAGCGTGGGTCTAGGAGTGTGGGTCTAAGGGCGTGGGTCTAAGAGCGTGGGTCTAAGAGCGTGGGTCTAAGAGCGTGGGTCTAAGAGCGTGGGTCTAAGGGCGTGGGTCTAAGGGCGTGGGTCTAAGGGCGTGGGTCTAAGAGCGTGGGTCTAAGGGCGTGGGTCTAAGGGCGTGGGTCTAAGAGCGTGGGTCTAAGAGCGTGGGTCTAAGAGCATGGGAAAAAGGGCGTGGGTCTAAGGGCGTGGGTCTAAGGGCGTGGGTCTAAGGGCGTGGGTCTAAGGGCGTGGGTCTAAGGGCGTGGGTCTAAGGGCGTGGGTCTAAGGGCGTGGGTCTAAGGGCGTGGGTCTAAGGGCGTGGGTCTAAGGGCGTGGGTCTAAGGGCGTGGGTCTAAGCGCATGGGTCCAAGAGTGTGGGTCTAAGGGCGTGGGTCTAAGGGCGTGGGTCTAAGGGCGTGGGTCTAAGGGCGTGGGTCTAAGGGCGTGGGTCTAAGGGCGTGGGTCTAAGGGCGTGGGTCTAAGGGCGTGGGTCTAAGGGCGTGGGTCTAAGGGCGTGGGTCTAAGGGCGTGGGTCTAAGAGCGTGGGTCTAAGAGCGTGGGTCTAAGAGCGTGGGTCTAAGGGCGTGGGTCTAAGGGCGTGGGTCTAAGAGCGTGGGTCTAAGAGCGTGGGTCTAAGCGCATGGGTCTAAGGGCGTGGGTCTAAGGGCGTGGGTCTAAGAGCGTGGGTCTAAGAGCGTGGGTCTAAGAGCGTGGGTCTAAGGGCGTGGGTCTAAGGGCGTGGGTCTAAGGGCGTGGGTCTAAGAGCGTGGGTCTAAGAGAGTGGATCTAAGGGCGTGGGTCTAAGAGCGTGGGTCTAAGGGCGTGGGTCTAAGGGCGTGGGTCTAAGGGCGTGGGTCTAAGGGCGTGGGTCTAAGGGCGTGGGTCTAAGGGCGTGGGTCTAAGGGCGTGGGTCTAAGGGCGTGGGTCTAAGAGCGTGGGTCTAAGGGCGTGGGTCTAAGAGCGTGGGTCTAAGGGCGTGGGTCTAAGAGCGTGGGTCTAAGGGCGTGGGTCTAAGGGCGTGGGTCTAAGGGCGTGGGTCTAAGGGCGTGGGTCTAAGGGCGTGGGTCTAAGGGCGTGGGTCTAAGGGCGTGGGTCTAAGGGCGTGGGTCTAAGAGCGTGGGTCTAAGGGCGTGGGTCTAAGGGCGTGGGTCTAAGGGCGTGGGTCTAAGGGCGTGGGTCTAAGGGCGTGGGTCTAAGGGCGTGGGTCTAAGAGCGTGGGTCTAAGAGCGTGGGTCTAAGAGCGTGGGTCTAAGAGCGTGGGTCTAAGAGCGTGGGTCTAAGGGCGTGGGTCTAAGAGCGTGGGTCTAAGAGCGTGGGTCTAAGGGCGTGGGTCTAAGGGCGTGGGTCTAAGAGCGTGGGTCTAAGGGCGTGGGTCTAAGGGCGTGGGTCTAAGAGCGTGGGTCTAAGAGCGTGGGTCTAAGAGCATAGGAAAAACGTGGGTCTAAGGGCGTGGGTCTAAGGGCGTGGGTCTAAGGGCGTGGGTCTAAGGGCGTGGGTCTAAGGGCGTGGGTCTAAGAGCGTGGGTCTAAGAGCGTGGGTCTAAGGGCGTGGGTCTAAGGGCGTGGGTCTAAGGGCGTGGGTCTAAGGGCGTGGGTCTAAGGGCGTGGGTCTAAGAGCGTGGGTCTAAGAGCGTGGGTCTAAGAGCGTGGGTCTAAGAGCGTGGGTCTAAGGGCGTGGGTCTAAGGGCGTGGGTCTAAGAGCGTGGGTCTAAGGGCGTGGGTCTAAGAGCGTGGGTCTAAGAGCGTGGGTCTAAGGGCGTGGGTCTAAGGGCGTGGGTCTAAGAGCGTGGGTCTAAGAGCGTGGGTCTAAGAGCGTGGGTCTAAGAGCGTGGGTCTAAGAGCGTGGGTCTAAGAGCGTGGGTCTAAGAGCGTGGGTCTAAGAGCGTGGGTCTAAGAGCGTGGGTCTAAGGGCGTGGGTCTAAGAGCGTGGGTCTAAGAGCGTGGGTCTAAGGGCGTGGGTCTAAGAGCGTGGGTCTAAGGGCGTGGGTCTAAGGGCGTGGGTCTAAGAGCGTGGGTCTAAGAGCGTGGGTCTAAGAGCGTGGGTCTAAGGGCGTGGGTCTAAGGGCGTGGGTCTAAGAGCGTGGGAAAAACGTGGGTCTAAAATCGTGGGTCTAAGG